CCAAGGCACAGGTGGGCTGAGGCTGTGACTCAGAGGCCCCGTGGGGCTCGCTGCTGTCAGAGCAGTTCCACACCCACCCCTGTGGGTCCAGGGGTGCCTCAGTTGGGGGGAGGGTCACGTGGCCTGACTGTGTCCTGAGGACTGGGCTGCCAGAGGTCCCTGTGCCTTCTCCCCTGGTGCGGCCAGAAGCCCCCTCCTCTGCCCAGGACAACCTGTGGACGCTGTCCCCCCACACCTTGTGTGAGGCATAGAACCACAGAGAACGGTGCACATATTGCACATGGACAGCCCAATGAATGGTCACAAGACAAACACCCCAGGAGATCAGCACCCAGATAGAGAAACAATACGCCGGTACCCTGGGAGCTGCCGAAAACTGAGATGCAGATGACGATGACAATGACGTTGAACATCTCAGGGAATGCCCCGCACACTAAAAACCCCAGCCACTCACCTCACCGCAGACTGTCGCCCATCCTAGACCAGCTGCCAATGCAATGCATCTCCAAGGGGTACAGCCTGTCCTCCAGAGGGGCGTGTACCTAACCCTTGGCTGAGGCACTGTGTCCCAGGGCTGTGATCATGCTCACCGAGGGCTACTGCTTCTCTTCTGTGGGTGGAGGACCAGGGCCTCTCCCACCCCACCATACGCTCCCCTCTCAGCCTCACCCCTCCAGAGGCAGCGTGGAACTTCATGCAGGAAGGGCTGAGGCAAGTGAGGGGCAAGGGAAAGGTGCCTCTGCCTAGCACTCCTCAGTGCCCTCAGGCCCTCCCAGCATTCTCCCAGCACCCACCCATTGCTCACCCTCCTTCCTGCTCACGGTGGAGGTTCCAGACAAGCTCAAGGCACGGCCAGGAAGAGGAGAGGCTGGGGAGATGCGGCAGGATGAGTAAGGGGCACAGGCACCCACCAGGCTCAGGCACACCCCTGCATGAGCTTCCACCGTCCATTGAGTAAAGACCCTTGATGGGCACTGAGGTCCTCCTAATACCTCCCAACCTACCCGGCTAGCCTTCTTTTTAATTTAATTTTATTTTATTTTATTTTATTTTATTTTATTTTTTTGAGACAGGATCTTGCTCTGTCGTCCAGGCTGGAGTGCAATGGCACGATCTCAGCTCACTGCAGCGTCAAACTCCCAAGCTCAAACAATCCTCCCACTTCAGTCCCCAGAGTAGTTGGGACTACAGGTGCATCCCACCATGCCTAGCTAATTTTTGTAGAGACGAGATTTTGCCATGTCCAGGCTGGTCTTGAACCCCTGGACTCAAGAGATCCACCCACCTCAGCCTCCCAAAGTGCTAGGATTCAAGGCGTGAGCCCTTGCACCCGGCCTGTCTAGTCTTCTTATGCCTCTCCATACTGGCCACTAGCCAGAGCCTCTCCTGGACACCTGCCCCCTTTGCCTTCTCTACACTCACCCTCCCACTACCAACTAACGTCTGCAGGCCTCTCCATGCCCTTCCACCAGGAGTGTGCTGAGCCCGCCAGTATGCACTGATGGCTGCATTTGCAGGAATTTTGCAAATTTTGCAAAAAGGTCGATGGTTAAACACAGCCACCATTAAATTTTAAACTAAGTAAACTTATAATTAAATAAATTATATTTAAAATTGGCAATAAATATTACAAACTCATCACTTTCTAATTATTTTGTTACATTGAACTATATATATATATATATATATTTTTTTTTTTTTTTTTTGAGACAGAGTCTTGCTCTGTTGTCCAGGCTGGAGTACAGTGGTTCAATCTCAGCTCACTGCAAACTTCCGCCTCCCAGGTTCATGTGATTCTCCTGCCTCAGCCTCCCAAGTAGCTAGGATTACAGATGTGTGCCACCACACCTGACTGATTTTTGTATTTAGGGTAGAGACGGGGGGGTTTCACCACGTTGGCCAGGCTGGTCTCGAACTCCTGACCTCAGGTGACCCAGCTTGGCCTCCCAAAGTGCTGGGATTACAGGCGTGAGCCACCACTTCCGGCCTTGTCTATGCTTTTGAGGTTTATTCGAATCTATTGCACTATCATGGTAGGAGTAGTATAACATATACTATTGTGCTAGGTCGGGTGCTGTGGTTCACACCTGTAGTCCCAAGACCAAGGCAAGAGGAGTTCAACCATCTCTAGGAAAAAGAAAAAAAAAATTAACCTGAAGTGTGGTGGTGCAGGAAGTATTGCTTGAGCCCAAGAGGTCGAGGCTGCAGTTAGCTGTGATCCTGCCACTGCACTCCAGCCTGGGCAACAGAGCAAGACCCTGTCTCAAAAATAAAACAACGGTGTGCTAGTGTTCATGGTTTCCCAATGAGTGAGGTCGTGTCACAGGCAGCCTCAAATGTACCCAGCTGGGAGTATTACGGGATCGCCTCCCTCACCCCAGCTGCATCTGGGGTGTGGGACTCAGGCAGGGCCGGGATCACTGGCTGTTCACAACACCATCCCCCCTCTTCCGACCTGGCAGCCAGACACCCCGATGAGTTTGGGCAGGGTGGCCCTTCATTTTCTTGCTCCCTCTCTCTCAGATACTTGCAGAACACTAGGGAGGCCGAGGGAACCCTAAATACAACCCTCAGCTTGTCCAGGGTCTTGTGATGGAGAAACGTGGCATGGTGGCCCTCGCGTGTGTGTGCAGCGCCTGCAGGTGTCCCGCCCAGCGCCTCCTGCACGACAGTTGCAGGCTGGGCCCGAGGATCCCGGCCCATCCACCGTGGTCTCCTCCCCTGTGCCCCACAGTACCCAGAGGTCCCGCTTGCCCCAGACACTGCCCCAGGCTCCCCTCCCTTTCTGACGCCGTCCACTCCCTTCCTCTGCGGAAGGGGGACCCGCTCCTTTGTGCCGAGGTGCCAGGCCGCTGAGGTCTGGAGCCCTGGCGGAAAAACCAGGGTCCCTGGCCTTGGGTGGCCGGAAAGGCTCCGCGGCTGCTGGGGATAGAGACGCGGGGCCAGGCTAAGGGCTCCCGCCCCGTCTAAACAGCCTGCCCCGGGGAGGGCCGGGCTCGTCTCCCGCGCCCACGCGTTCTCGGCACGGTCCAGTTCCAGGCCTGGCTGGCGCGGCCTCCCCACTGGACGCGTGCGGGAGGGCGGCCAGGCCGAAGTGCTGGGGCCAGGAGGGCACCCGCCGGGCTGCTGCCTACGGGAGTTGGGGCAGAAGCCGCCGCGCCCGCGCGCGGGTAATTTCTCCCGAGGCGCGTTCCAGCCCGTGGAGCTGCTGGCGCAGACCCCGTGTGGGGACCAGCAAGGCTAACCCCTCCCGCACCCTGTGGTCGGCAGAGCACGCGAGGGGCCGCGAGCCGCGTGGGTTTGGGGGCGCCGTGGCAGGCGAGCGGGGCCGGCAGAGCGGGAACCCGCACACGCTCCGCGCGGAGCTGAGGACAGGCGCGTGAGGGCCGCGGGGTCCCTCTGGCGCCAGGAAGCGGCGGCCGAAGGACACAAGAGCTCGCAGCCCAGGCTCAGGGAGGCTTAAAGGCTGAGACGCTGAACGCAGACGGCGGGAGCTCGGGGGCTGGGGGGTGGGAAGAGGCCTCTGTTTCTCAAAAAAGTCTCCATCGAGCCGGCCTCTGCTCCCGCCCGCCGGGCGGACCCCCGATCCCTGCACCCGGGGCTGCCCGTGGGTCAGTGCGGGCTGGGGACCCCCTCCCGACACCCAGCCCCCGGCTGCCGGCAGGGAAAGGCTGCAGAACGCAGGGACCAGGGAAGCCGGGGGCGGCGGGGAGGGTCGGTCAGGTCGCCCCCGGCTCCAGCCCGGCCCGGCAGTCTCGGAGCCTCAGTTTCCTTCTCTGTACCACGGGAGCATGGACGGAGGGATTTCCGAGGCTTTGACCGCACTGATCGCCGCGGGGCGGGGCGGCGGCGCCAGCCCTGGTCCTGAGCCCCCAGCCTGGCGCAGGAACCCGGACGGGGATCTCGGGAGTAGAGTCCCGCGGTCCAGAAGGCGGCGCGAGCGCGCGGGTGCCGGGTGGGGTGTCTGAGCGAGCGCGGAGCTTCTCAGGTGAACTCCTCCAGCCACCTCTGGGACCCTTCCTACTGGCCTTCGGGCCTGAGAAGTGGGCGCGGCTGGACGGAAGGGAAACAGCCCCCCACGCACAGGTGGACACCCGGGGATACTGGGAGCGCGCGGCGTCTGGCAAGGGGAAGCTGCTGGGGACGCGGGCGGCTGCTCCCGCGGGGCCGCTTTCCGAAGCGCCGCTGGCTCCGCGCCTTCCCGAGGCCGCTACGAACGTCCAGCTCCGGCGACGCCACCTGCCCGCGATCGGCCGGCTCCGCGGACAGGAAAGGCTCGATCCGCTAGGACGGCCTCCGAGAAGTCCCCAGCGCCCCTCCCGCACGGAGTGGGGGCTGAGAGACCCTGGGGACGGGGCCAGGTCCACAGAGCCCAGGAGCTGGGGGAGGGGAGGCGCCGGGGGCCCCGAGCTGTGGGAAGTCCCTGGACCCAGGCTGCCCGGCGGCTTCTCAACAGCACACGGACATCTAAGAAACGCGCAGCGGCCCGGTGACCCCCGCTCTGGACTTAGTGGCGCCGCGAGGCCCCACTCCGGGCCTCTGACCACCGGGCACTCGGGTGTTGATCTGGGTCCTTGCGCACCCAGCCCGGCTCCAAACGCCCCCGGCCCGAGGGTGTTCAGAGCAGCCAGGAGGGCCGAACCGAATTCTGTCTCCCGGACCCGCGGTGGTTTCCCGCCCGCCTGGAGCCCCGTCGAAGGTTCGGGGACACCACGCAGGTGGTCCATCCTAGAGTCCGAGCCGGAGCCCGACCTCCTTCCCCCTGAGCTCTCGGAGCCTTCGGGGCAGCGGCGCCGGCCCAGACGGGGGCGGGGGAGGAGGGGGCTGCGGCAGTGCCCAGAAGGGCGAGGGGACGCGAGCGGAGGCAGCCCCGGTGGCGCGCTCGTAAGACCCCCGCCGCGCCGCGGGCCCGGGCCGCAGACAATTAAAGCGGGATTCCTCCCCCGCTGACGTCGGCGGCGCGAGGCCCCTCCCGCGGCGGCATAAAAGGCGCGGGCTCCGCAGCGCAGGCGGCAGTGGGGGCCTGACAGCGCGGCGGTGTGGACCGCGCGGCCGAAGAGCGCGGCGCCCAGAGCGCGGTCCGCTCGCGGAGCCACAGCCCGAGCCGGGTCCCAGTCGGAGCCGAGCCCCAGCCGAGCCGAGCCGGGCCCGGAGCGCCGGGTGCCCGCAGCCATGCTGGCCGGCCGCGCCGCGCGCACCTGTGCGCTGCTCGCCCTCTGCCTCCTGGGCGCCGGGGCCCAGGATTTCGGGCCGACGCGCTTCATCTGCACCTCGGTGCCTGTGGACGCCGACATGTGCGCCGCGTCCGTGGCCGCCGGCGGCGCCGAGGAGCTCCGGAGCAGCGTGCTGCAGCTCCGCGAGACCGTGCTGCAGCAGAAGGAGACCATCCTGAGCCAGAAGGAGACCATCCGCGAGCTGACCGCCAAGCTGGGCCGCTGCGAGAGCCAGAGCACGCTGGACCCCGGAGCCGGCGAGGCCCGGGCGGGCGGCGGCCGCAAGCAGCCCGGCTCGGGCAAGAACACCATGGGCGACCTGTCCCGGACACCGGCCGCCGAGACGCTCAGCCAACTCGGGCAAACTTTGCAATCGCTCAAAACCCGCCTGGAGAACCTCGAGGTCCGCGCGCGCCCTCCGGCTCCGGTTCCCCCTCCGGCTCGCTCGCCCCTCTGCCCTCCCCTACCTCGTTCCCTACCCGGCCAGGCATCCCCCACCCCCGCCTCTGTAGCGCGCGGGTGCCCGGCCGGTGCCTCCCCGCACCTGCGAGGCCCCGCGGCGGCCACTCGCCCCAGCTCCCTGCCAGGCCGCCCCCGCAGTCGCCCTGAGGGGACCGCGCCGCGGGCCTTCCAGCACGGTCCCCGCGCCTCGCCTAACGGTGTGGTTTCCCCCGCCCTTGCACCCCGCAGCAGTACAGCCGCCTCAATTCCTCCAGCCAGACCAACAGCCTCAAGGATCTGCTGCAGAGCAAGATCGATGAGCTGGAGAGGCAGGTGCTGTCCCGGGTGAACACCCTGGAGGAGGGCAAGGGGGGCCCCAGGAACGACACCGAGGAGAGGGTCAAGATCGAGACCGCCCTGACCTCCCTGCACCAGAGGATCAGCGAGCTCGAAAAAGGTACTGGGGCCAGGGGGAGCCGTGCTGCCTGCCCCCGCCTGCTTGCCCGACCCTGCCTCTGTCCTGATCCCTAACAGCCCAGCTCTGCACTGTGCAAGCCCCAAGCCGCCCCCCTAACCCCGACCCCTGCAGCCCTTTCTCATCCACCGCACCCCTTCCCAGGTTCTGGGCTTCTCGTCGGTGTTTCTAGCAGGGCTGGGTACCCTGGGCTGGGGCTGTCTCTAGGAAAAGGGAGCAGAGGAAGGGATTGCTTAGTGCCCCCTCCCCCATCCAGACACACTCACACACTCGCTGGATTTTTCAAGTCTGATTTGTGTAATCCTCAGTAACTTTGCACAGTGGCTGTTGCTGGCCCAAACCCTCCCTGCTTAAGAAAGCCTCTCTGTCACTGGTCCCCAGCCTCAGCGGACAGCAGGGTGCAGGCTGGGGCTGGGTGCTCTGGGTCCCCTGGCCGCTGAGGCTAAGCAGGTTTCTTCCCAGCTACCGTGCCCCTGGTGTCCTCTCAGGGTCTCCAGCTCCTCCCCACTTCTGCCCTGAACCCTTACCCTGAGGTTTTCTCTTCTGAGTCACCCAAGCCCTGGCATCTTTCAAACCCCTGAGGTTTCTCAGTCACCAACTCAGGCCAGTCGGCCTGTCACACGGGGCTCCTCAAACAAGGTTGTAAAAGGGGGGGGGGGGGTGCCTGGTGCGGAGCAGGGCCATGTGACCCTGCTCAGACCGCAAAATGTGCCGGACAGATTTAAACAGTGCCATCTTAAGGCTTGTTATGTAACTGAAAAACAGATCGGAAGAAGGAAGGACCTCAGGAGGGAGGGAGAGGGAAGGAGGGGAGATTGGGGAATGAAAAACACACTGGAGAAAGGCCAGGGGTTGGGTCCCTCCCCATCCCCCATTGCAGACCTCAATGGGTGGGGGGAGCCGCGGGGGTGCTGCACTGAGGGGCCTGCCCTGCTCTGCTCCCTACCAGTTGGTTTAGAGGAGGGGGTGGTTGCTGGCCAGGTAGGATGCCTTCTAGAAATCATTTTTGGCCTGGGGAACTGGTTTCTTTCTGGGCTTCCTGGGAGGACCACGGCTGCTCACCCAGGGGTTGGCCAGGGGGTGTGCGTTCCTGGGCTCTGGGCCTGGTACTGGTGCCCATTGCTGGCCAGGAATGTTTTACCTGGAGTCAGTCACACCATACCCAGGGTGCCACAGTATATGGATGGGGTGTGGGGGCTGGCGCTCACTGGAGAAGTGGCCGGCAGGGAAGGGGGAAGGTGGGCCTTGTGGAAGGGGAGGCCACCAGGCCTGGAACCTGAGCTATGAGGATGCTCGCTCACCTGAGAGTGTGGCGGCATCCTCAGCAGTCACCTTGGGGAGCCCTGGCTCCCGGAGTGCTCCCAGCTCCTTGCTGCCCTGCCCTCTCAGCAGGGTTCCAGGCAGAGTCCCTGGAAGGGCCTTGGAGGTTGGGAGCTACCCAGCCTTACACCCAAGAGGCATTGGTGGGTCAGATGCACGTCTGGCCTGGAGGGAAGTGTGTGGGCATCAGGGCCTGGCTGCTGGGTGGGGAGGCAGGAGCAGAGCCCGGATCGAGCGAGGAGGGGCTCTGCGCCCCACCCCGTCCTGGAATCAGGTCGGTTACTCTCAGGGTAGCTAGCCTCATTCCTCCTCTGCAGCCACCCCTGCTTCTTGGGTTGCCTGGGTATGCCCTCACTTGGCGGCTGTCCCCATTCCCTTCTCACGCCCACCACGCAGCCCAGTGTAGATGCGGCAGCCCACCAGGCGCTGCACCCCACCCCCACCTCCGCAGGGATGCCAGCATGTGGGAGTGACAGCCAGCCAGACCTGGAGTGCGGAGAGCTTGGGTCAGCTCTTTACGGATGGCCCTGTGCCTTGGGGCAAAGTACTTGACCTGGGAAGCCACCCGCTCTGCGTCTCCAGAATGGAGACCGGAGCCTGCCGTGGCCGCATCACAGAGCTTGGTGGGGACCGAACTCAACTCAGACACTGATAAGCACTTCACGCAGGTGCAGATGTCAGGACTGTGTCCTCCGCAGGTCAGAAAGACAACCGCCCTGGAGACAAGTTCCAGCTCACGTTCCCGCTGCGGACCAACTATATGTATGCCAAGGTGAAGAAGAGCCTGCCAGAGATGTATGCCTTCACTGTCTGCATGTGGCTCAAGTCCAGCGCCGCGCCAGGGGTGGGCACGCCCTTCTCCTATGCTGTGCCCGGCCAGGCCAACGAGCTGGTCCTCATTGAGTGGGGCAACAACCCCATGGAGATCCTCATCAATGACAAGGTAGAGCACCCCCGGGCTCACAGGACGACAGGGCGAGGCCCCAGGGCCCCAGCTCATGTCGCATGCTAGGACGGGGCTATGGTGGCCTCAGATGTTGATGGGACCCCAAGGAAGGTGGTTGCCAGCTGGGACTGAGGGAGGGGAAGGGTGCAGACCAAGAGAAGTGGAAGGAGCACCCTCACCTGTACTGGGAGAGCAGGGAGAGCTGGACCTTCCCAGTTGCCTTCTGGGGTGGGTATGGGAGAAGGCAGAGAACGAGCCATGGGGCCTGGCCCTGCCTGATGATATGGTCTGGACTCCTCCACCAGCTGGTCTTGGAACTGGCTTTGCCGCTTCATAGCAGGGGCCCAGGGATGCTCTAGGCTGATGAGGGGACCTTAGAGATTTTTCCTGAGTCCAAGTCTATCCCACTCAGCCCCCTAACTCTTGGGAGGAGGACAGGTCTGTGTGACCCCTTGGAAGAGGACAGCACGGGCGGCCTTTCCCTCTAGTGAACCTTCTCCATCCTCCCCTGTTAGCTATGAAATTAGCTGCCGGCTTTCAAACTGCCTCGACTGCAGGCCAGCAGTGGTAGTCAGTGGCTAAAACCAGGGCTGGGAAGTGGATTCCACGTCCTTGTTCCTGTTGCTCTTCCCCACAAAGGGCTGTGCCGTTCTGGGCCGCCTTTCCCCGAGCAAAAAGGGTGTGAAGTTTCTTTCGTCGCTGCTGGACTGTCATCCTTCCCCCCTGGAATGGCAGCAGGAGAGTGAAATTCCAGGTCGGAGGCTGGTCTGAGCTTTAAAAGGCATCGTACTCCATGACATCTCTCAGATCCTCAGCAAAGGCTTGCCATGTTGTAGAGCGAGAGGGTGTAACAGCTAGAGATGGGATATTGGAAGAGAGAGGAGAGGCCAGCAAGCAGGCTGCACAGGTGTCTCACGGAGGCCTGAGAGGCAGCAGTGAACTCAGACACCAGGGACGGCTCTCCCTCCAACGGCTTGTTGTGTAGACTAGCAAAGAGGGAGGAGGGTGAGTAGGAGTGAAGACTGTGCACCCACATGGCCCTTGGGGGTTCCCTTGGTAGAGCATTACATTTCCTGTGTGATTCCGTACCCCACTCCCAGGCGGGGCTGACAGATGCTGAAGTCTGGGGCAGTAGGTGCTGTGAGAATTCAGTAATAGTTCTTGATATTTACTTTGCAAGTAGAGATAGGAACAACTGAGGCAGTGAAGATTACGGATTCTGGGCTGTACCCCTGTACCCACCAGCCGGCATCTGTCATTCTCCTTCCCAGGTGGCCAAGCTGCCTTTTGTCATCAATGATGGCAAGTGGCACCACATCTGCATCACCTGGACCACCCGGGACGGGGTCTGGGAGGCCTACCAGGACGGCACGCAGGGTGGCAGTGGCGAGAACTTGGCACCCTATCACCCCATCAAGCCCCAGGGTGTGCTGGTGCTGGGCCAGGAGCAGGTACTGTGCTGGATGTGGTGGGGAAGGGGAGAGAGCTCCGGAACCAGAGACTGGGAAGGGGAAGAGGAGCAAGGAGGGAGGGAGGTGGCCGGAGAAGTGGTTCCCCTGAGAAGCAGCCCGGGGAGCAGGCCAGGCAAGGCCTGTGCCCTGGGTAGACTCGCGCTTGAACTTCCTGCGGGAGTGAGCTTTGGTTTCAACGCCCTCATAGCTGCAGCAACACTTTCTTTGGCATGGGAAGGCCAATTCTGCTTTTAGTGATGAATAATTTAGTTCCCGTGAAGTGGTTTGTCTCCCGTTGGGCATCTAGGAGGGAGACGAAGGGATGGAGAATCTGGGATGTCTATCCCTGTTGGGCAGCTTTAGATGGCATGGAGTGATGTCTGGGCAGAGGCCCCCAGGCCCTGCTGCTATAGTGGTCCGTGGCTGAGGGACCAGCTGCAGGAGGGGCAGAGTCCGTCCCCCCAGGAGAAGCTCCAGGGCAGAGGTGGTCAGTGCTATCCCTTTTCTTGGGTCCTCTCAGGGGAGGGACGGATGTAGGGCTGGAGAGTCGGGGACAGGGAGACGAAACGGCACCCAGGAGTGGCCGTGAGAGTCCGTGATGGGGCAGGCACAGAGGCGCTTAGACCCCTGGCCTCGGGATGGGCCCTCAGATCACCTGGCGACCTCTCCACCCTCATCCTCTGTTTTTCTCCAAAGGACACTCTGGGTGGTGGGTTTGATGCCACCCAGGCATTTGTGGGTGAGCTGGCCCACTTCAACATCTGGGACCGCAAGCTGACCCCCGGGGAGGTCTACAACCTGGCCACCTGCAGCACCAAGGCACTGTCCGGCAATGTCATCGCCTGGGCCGAGTCCCACATTGAGATCTACGGTGGAGCCACCAAGTGGACCTTCGAGGCCTGTCGCCAGATCAACTGAGCGCGGCAGGCCAGGCTGAGCCCGCCCGCCCTCACCCCCTGCTTGTGCGGCGATGATCTGTTTCGTGCGTCTCTTCTCTCCCTTTTCCCTAGGAATGAACCGAGGCCGTCGCCCCTGCACATGCACACGCACACAGCCTGGTTTTGTCCTCATGCACACGAAGCAGCCCCTGCTCCCATCTGTCCCTGAGGAAGCCCCACTTCTCTGTAGGAGCCTGGACTCTCTCAGGCGGGCCCCGTTCACAGCTAAAGTGGGCGCTGCGACGTTTTGAACGAGGCAGAAGTAGGTGAGAGCATCTGTGTGTGCGTGTCTACATGTGTGTGTCTACATGTGTGCGTGTGCGTGGCGGGGGGAGGCCTTTTCTTAGAGGACGTACTTCATTTCCTTCTTTCTTTTGTCTTTGGAAAAATCTCATGATGAAAACTCGTATTTGCCAACTTTGTTAGCTGCGTGCGTGCCTTGGGGTTGCTGCAACCTCAGTACACGCATTTGTCTTTGTTTGCAAACCTTTTTCAGAGCGACATATCTTTATATTGATGTAATAAATGCCTTTTAGTAGGTTGTCAAAGGCCAGGGGCGGGGTCTCTCTACAGAGAACTTTTACTTTGTAATGGAAGTGAATTGTCTCTGAAGGGTGAAGGCGGGCTGTCCTGGGATGTACCCTGTGCTCTCCCGTGGAGGAGAGGGGATGGCTGAGGACACTGGCCCTTACCCCAGAGCCAGGCAGCATCCATCCCTGCTGTTTGCATCTGAGAGCAGCACAGGGCCTGGGAGGCTGGCCTGAGTGCCCAGCTCAGTCTGCTCTGCCCCAGGAAGGCCTTGCCCTCGGCCTTCCCACCTGCTCAGATCCTGCAAGGTTGGGGTCTGCCCCTTCTTTCTCGCCTCTGGAGCTGTGCTACTTCAGCCCGGACAGCCCTGAGAGAGGAGTGTCCCACCCACAGCCCAGGAAGCCAGGCCCCAGGGCCCCTCTCCTTTGGCCTCCGGCAGTGCAGACCAAAGGAGACCTTTTAAGGAAAGAAGCTGTGTTTCGCTGAAGACCTGGCCACATGGGACCACTGGGACTTCAACCCAGCCCATTGGTGGGAAGGTCCTCTTCGGGGACCTTTGACAGCCATATCCCTTCCAGCACACCAGGTGCCAGGTGAGCTGGTTCAGACCCCTCCAAGGGTACTCCGGAGACCTCACACGTGGAGCCAGGCCTGGCCAGGGTGGGGGCCTGAAACCCACTCCTCCATCTCACGGGGCTCACAGCCTACAGCAACCTGCAAGCTGCCACTGGCCGGTGACACTGACACCTGACCAGTGTCCAGAACCTTTGCCTTTTTTTGTTCCCCGTGAAAAGCAACATGGACATTTCCTTCTAGTCCTTCCAAGGAGGGGAGAGAAGTATGTGTGCGTGTGTGTGTGCGTGTTTGTGTGTGTGTGCACTGAGTGAGAAAGAGAGCAGGCTCGGGAGACCCTGCCCAGGGTAGGGGGAGCTTCCTGCTTTGCACCATTTGGTGGTCGCACGCCCCGAGGGCACCCCGACTCTGTCTCCAGGAGTCTCATCAGCAAGCGGCTGACAAGTCTTTCTAGAAATTCTACTGCACTGCCTGGCTCAGCTGCAGCTGCAGACATTTCTGCAGGAGGAGCAGGTGTTTCTGTCTTCTGTTCCTTCTAGGGCCACCTGTCCCCTTAAACACAGGTCCACGTTGTGTCAAGAACCTAGTGCATCTGTTTGTGTCTGTCAGTGTCTCTGTGTCAGTGTTCTCGTGGGTGTCTGCACGGTACCCGGCCGCCGTTCTGCAATGCATCACTCCCGCGGAGGGGGTGCAGATCAGGCGCCGCGCTGCGCGTTGTTGTTCAACAGTAGCTTTTTCTTAGATAATCGTGCTTCATCAGCGCCTGTCGGGTTGTGGCATCCTTGGATCTGCAGGGATCTTCTCTGTTTGCATGTTCCTCGGGGTGGCGTGTTCCTTGCTCCCTGGGTCCGACGTGTGTTCCCGCACCTGCATGGACTGCCCTGGTTCTGTGTTGTGTGCCGAGTGCCGCCCAGTGTTCTGTGACCACCCGTGTACTACTGAAAATGGCTGGGTAAGCAAGCCAAGGGTGTTGGAGGAGGTCAAGAGAGAGCTCAGTTTCCCTCTCCCCCTCCCCAAACACACCAAGAAGCATTTTTAACGTGTAGGTTGAGAACAAGCCTAAAGGATTCCCATAGCTGGGAGCCAGCGAGAGAGCTTGGAGTCGCCTCTCTAGACCAGATCTAGCCCCACCCTCACTCCAGCCATCTCGGAGCCCTTGTGCAGGCAACACTCAGTGCGGGCTGTGCGGGGTGCTCCCCTGCCAGCACCTCCCACCAGCCCCGCCCCTGCCGATCTACTGGACTGCAGACCACCTTCTGCCCCCTTGGGCCAGGTGGGAGCTGTCCGTTCAGGACCACGAGCCATCCTCTGCCCTGACTAGCGAGGGGCAGAGCACACCCCAGTGCTTACGCCTCCACCCCTGCAGCCTCCTGGCCTGCTCACCTTCCTCGCCCCTCCTCTGACCCACCCATGGTGCCAGGGCCGAAGCTGACCTTTAGCTCCCTCCCGCCCCTTGCTAGGGTCTGAGCCAAGCCCCTCGACTCCCTCACTGTGTTGACACTTGGCACTTTGCTGGCCCCGAGAAAGGTCGATGACACAGCCGCAAATCTAATCCACGTAGTTCCCATCTACTCCTTAATCTGATTGATGTTCCCTCTTGCACTGAATAATACATGCCTCTCTCAGGTAAGCCATTTTATAAAACAAGAAGATAAAAAGCACTGTTGAGGCAGTGTTTGCTTTTGCCGAGCTGGTGTCCGACAGCTCCCTGGGTGTCTGGGGTGGGAGAGCTGTTGATAGAAGCTCTCCGGGCCCTCAGGGGCTTAGATCCCACTTGAGTCGTAAGCCTTCTTGCTTTTGATAACACAGTATTATTTCTCTTACTGTAGAAGAAAAAGTTTATTACCAAACAAGAGTATTTTTATGAAAGAAAAGGACAAACCTATAAATTAACTCAACCTATTTCTCCCTTGAAAATACTTTCAGGCTCCACCAAAACGTAGAACTGAAAGCATGTATTTTGGAAGAAAGAGATACATTTTGTATGCTTTCTTTTCCTTTTGTAGATTCCCAGTTTATTTTCTAAGACTGCAAAGATCACTTTGTCACCAGCCCTGGGACCTGAGACCAAGGGGGTGTCTTGTGGGCAGTGAGGGGGTGAGGAGAGGCTGGCATGAGGTTCAGTCATTCCAGTGAGCTCCAAAGAGGGGCCACCTGTTCTCAAAAGCATGTTGAGGACCAGGAGGTAAAACTGGCCATTTATGGTGAACCCGTGTCTTGGAGCTGACTTACTAAGTGGAATGAGCCGAGGATTTGAATATCAGTTCCAACCTTGATAGAAGAAGCTTGGGTTACATGTGGTTCACATTAAGAGAATAGAATCCTTTGGAATCTTATGGCAACCAAACGTGGCTTGACGAAGTCATGGTTTCATCTCTTAAACACAGTGTGTAAATGTGTTCAACTAACGATGGGAAATGTATTACTTCTGTACACAGTGGACTTAAGCGCAATTTGTTGAAAGGGAACAAGTCATTGAAGAGAAAAAAAAAAAAAAGCCCAATACTTAGAGTCCCAATTTTGTCTTATTTGCCAAAAAAAGAAAAAAAAAAAGCAAACCCCCTAGAGTTGATATTGTTATAATGTATATACTGTATAATATGAAAGAGAATCGATGTATCTTACTTTTTCATTATTTGCTAACCAAAGCTGTACATTTTTCATATGATCTGCAGCCTTTTGGGTATTAAATGGGTCAAAACCATGGGACCTGCCACCTCCCATCAGCAATTCTGGAAATGCACTATTTCTACTGGTATTCTTGCTTTTTTTTTTTTTTTTTTTTTCATTTTTCTTGCTGAAATGACATGAATTGTTGAGTTTATTTTTACACAGTAAAGAGTGGAGAAAGACTGTGGTCTCCTTAGAACGTCTCTTCTTTTCCAAGGCTTACCAATGCCACCTCCCCCTGCAGCCACCCCTCTTCCCCAGCCAGGTGCAGGTGACCCTCACCCGCAGGGGGTGTGTGCCTCGCTTGTGCATTGCCCTGTGCCCTTTAACAACCCCACACCATCTGGTGACGCTGGATGTTGCATGGAGGGGTCTCCATTTCACAGGGGCAGCTGACACAGAGGCAGAGAATGGCTCAGTGATTCCCCAACTCAGTGAGGCTGCTCGGCCTGGGATATAGGGTCACTCCCCATTCCTTGTCTTCTCCTGGGTGGACTCACGGTCCATAGCAGGGTCCGGGTTCGAGGTGGCCCAGGCTTGTGCCGAGGCAACTCTGGCAGTCCTCTGCCCCAGCCTGCTAGCAGGTACTTAGCCACGTCTGGTTGCCTTCCCGCTTCGAGAGTCCCAGGAACCTTCCCTGCACTTGTGTGAGAGTGTCTGAGAGTGTCCCTACAAAGGGATAGATGGCCTCGGGAATGCTGGGCCTCGGGCTGAGCTTACCTCCCTGTCCCCCTTGTGGACCTGGCTTGACTCTGGATGTGTTTAGAGCTTGCGAGCTGTTGCCTCCAAGGGACAGAGTGACCAGGACCCAAGTGCCCTGGGGTGAGTGATTCTAACACACTTACAACCTGAAGTCAGGGGACATGGAGCCAAAATCACCTGCCCAGTGGTTTGGTTGGTGCCCCCCACCTCACACACACAATGCACACACACACACACACACACACACACACAGGGTTGGCAGAAGGGACTGGTCACTCTGGCTTCCTATTGGCATCGCCTGGGGATTCCCTGCCCAGTGCTCTGGTGTTCCCTGGCCAGGAGTCAGGAGTGGGGGTTTGGTGGGTGTGAGCGAGCCACCTGTCACCTGTGGAGGGAGAAGGTTTGGCCTCAGCAAAGCAGGCAGGGAAGCCCCTGTATCCCTGCAGGAAGAGCCTTGGTCAGGAGAGAGAGGCCCTGCCAGGCGGGAGGCCCCTGGCCTGTGTTCCCAGAGCCATTCTCACTGGGTGGTGTTCACCCCAGGGTGCACGCTCATGGTTGGGCCCAGGATTATGCCGATTCCAGTGGCCCCAATGGACACACCACCTCATACCTCCCACTCAAGAAAGTGCAGAGTTATGTCTGTGATAACGTCACGCATACATTTCTAACTTCTATGTGAGAGTGCATTTAAACACTTAGGTTCTTTAATTATCATTAGATGCGAAGTACTTTCTGCACTTCTCACACCTGATTTTGGCTCATCCATGAATGCCTTCAGGGGGCCGTGGAGCTAAGAACAGCTGCTTGGAAGGAAGCCACGGGCCTTGCAGCTCGGTGGAGTGAGGTGGGAGTCTGGGCAGTGGGACATGGGCGCAAGAGGTCAAAGCCAGAGGGTGTCTTGGAAGTCATTAACTTCAGCAGCCTCTCGGGTGCCTGAAACTGTTCTCGGCTTGCACACTTCTGGTGATGTGGAGCTCATTACCCCAGAGAGGTAGTCTGTCCTATTTTCAGACAGCTCTGACTATTGACAAGTTTTCTTTTGCGCTCCTGTCTCTTCTTTTTCTGACATTTCGTGCTTGGTTCCTTGCATTGAGCTACAGCTCCTGCCCATCTGTCCTGACACAGGAAGACGAGGATCCCTGAGTCTTCACCAGTTCTGCCCCACACAGCAGCCTCCTCAAAGTGCACTGGGCCAGGGGCGGTACCTGCATGGCAGGTACTTCTGTCTCTGTCCCTGTGGAGAGGGAGATGGTATGTCCAAGACCTGTAAGATGTCAGGGCCTTGAGGGTCTGGGCTTTGAAGAACCTTGAGGGTCGTCTAGTCCAGCTCCCCCACTGTTCAGATGAGGGGACTGAGGCCCAGAGGGGCTGTGTGGCTCGTTCAGAGTTGCGCAGCTTAACATCCAGGAATCAGAACCCGGGATTCCTGACGCCCAGCTCAGTGCTCTCACCTGCCTGGCTAAACAGCAGGGTCCTGAGCTGTGCTGTGGGGCTGGTAGTACTCTCTCTCAGGGCTGTGAAGATGGGATGAGGAGCTGTATGCACAAAGCCTGGTATGAGCAGGTACTATTGGGGGCAGACCCCCTACTTTGTGCCATACCAGGATACCCTCCTCCAGCTTTGTCTCCTGAAGGCCGGACACCTCCCCTCACTGCCCACGGCCCTTCCCCATGCATCAGTCCCTCCTGGGACGCCAAAGACCCAAGGGGAGCTGGGAAATGTTGCCTTCAGGTTGGACCATGGGGCACCCCAGCTGCAGCCCCCGGACCCCAGTGCCCCCCATGTCATCCACACCAGGAAGCTCAGGATGTCTGGGGGTCCCCTTCTCAGCTCCTGAAGGCTGCATCCCCCACCCCCATGTGGGACTGCAGGGCACCTGTCCTCGGATCTCTCCCTCCCCACCCACTGAGCTGCTCCAGGACTTGTCAAATCCCCCACCCAAGCCCCCTAAGCAGCAGCAGGGGAAGCTGGACCAAGCCCTGGAAGGTCTGGGGATGTGGCTTGAAGTGGCCCTCTGCAAATGCAAGGCCTCTGGAAGCCCCTGCATTTATCCTGGGAAAGGGCCTCTGGCTCCAGGTCCCCCAGCTGCCCTCTTCCTGTTTTTGGTGCTCCAGGAAGCCGGACATGTGTATGGCCTTGAGCCCAGCTGTGGGCTCCTGGAGCAGAGGCATCCCAGTTGAGGGAGTCCTGGCCTGCTTTCTCCCTGTGCCCATTCCCTGCGAGGTAGCCGGGGGTGGGCTTATCCCCAGCAGCACCCTTTCGCTGGCACACAAGCTCCTTCAGCTCAAGGAGGTGGCTGATCACACACCCACACTCATGCACAGCTGAGTCCCTGTGGCCTGGGCTTGCTGAGACGTCTGCCCCACGGCCTGAATGTCCTTCCTCTCCCAGATGCTAAACGCCTGGCCTGGGGTGCTCCCTGGAAATGCCACAGACTCTCCCTCTGCACTCACTGGTCACACATTACTGTCATATCGGATTTTTAAATAAATGTTTCTAACAGTTTAACTCTTAAAACCTGGAAATTGGCTGGGCATGGAAGCACATGCCTATAATCCCAGCACTTTGGGAGGCCGAGGTTGGAGGATCACTTGAATCCAGGAGTCCAAGACCAACCTGGGCAACATAGTGAGACCCCCATCTCTACAAAAAGTTTTAAAAAGCTGGGAGTGGTGGCCTGTGCCTGAAGTCCTACCTACTGGGGAGGCTGAGGTGGGAGAATCCCTTGAGCCTGGGAGGTGGAGGCTACAGTGAACCATGATCCCACCACTGTACTCCAACCTAGGTGACATAGCAAGTCCCTGTGTCAAAAAAAAAAAAAAGGTGCCCCCACATTGGTTTGTTATGGTTTGAACTGTGTCCCCCGGAAATACAGCTCCAAGTCCTAACCATGGTGCCTGTGAATTTTACTGTATTTGGAAACAGGGTCTTTGCAGATGTGTTGTCTTTATAAGAAAAGGAGAGGCCGGGTGTGGTGGCTCACACCTGTAATCCCAGCAGTTTGGGAGGCCAAGGCAGTTAGATCACCTGAGATCAGGAGTTCGAGACCAGCCTGGCCAACATGGTGAAACCCCATCTCTACTAAAACTATAAAAATTAACTGGGTATGGTGGCACATACCTGTAATCCCAGCTACTTGGGAGGCTGAGGCAGGAGAATTGCTTGAACCCAGGAGGCAGAGGTTGCAGTGAGCCAAGATCGCACCATTGCACTCCATCTTGGGTAACAAGAGCGAAACTCCATCTAAAAATTTTTTTTTAAAAATAAAAAGAAAAGAAGAAGAAGAGACACAGAGGAAGAGAGACAGCCTGTGATGATGGAGTCAGAGGCTGGAGGGATGCAGCCGCAAGCTGAGGAGTGTTGGAGTGGCAGAGTGAGACCCTGTCTCAAAAACGAAAACAAACCTGAAAATCCTTTTGTCTCATAGCTCCTCTAAGAAGGACACTTATATTCCTGAGACTAACCTGGTCACATGCAGAGTGGGCAGTGGCCTCCCAAGCCTCCATCTTCCCCACCCCACCCCAGCACAGAACAATAGGTTAGGGCCAGGTGCGGTGGTTCACCTCTGTAATCCCAGCACTTTGGGAAGCTAAGGCAGGCGGATCACTTGTGGTCAGCAGTTCGAGACCAGTGTGGCCAACATGGTGAAATCTCATCTCTACTAAAAATACAAAAATTAGCCAGGTGTGGTGGTGGGTGCCTGTAATCCCAGCTACTCCAGAGGCTGAGGCAGGAGAATCACTTGAACCTGAGAGGCAGAGGTTGCAATGAGCTGAGATTATACCATTGCACTCCAGTCTGGGCAACAGAGCTAGACTCCGTCTTAAAAAAAAAAAAAAAAAAAATTAGAACAACAGGGTAGGATCAGATGGCCTATGGGGTCCCTTCAGGCTCTCTCTGGTGCCCAAGGGCTGGCCTCCAACTCATGAGGACCCATGGCATCCCTCTGTGGAGGCCACCAACCCTCCCTGCGCAGCCCCCTCCTCCCTGCTGGCCCTGGAACTTGGCCCTGCCACACCATTGGTCTGGTGGGCCTAGGATGTGCCTTCACCAGACTTTTCCTCAATGGTGACTTCCCCACTGGAGACTCTGTTGCCCTTCCTCAAACCTCAGGCCAGACTCCTGCCCACTGACCACAGTGTGTTTAAGGTCTGGACTCCAGTGGTGGGCCAAGGTCAGGTTGTCTCCCAGAAGTTTCTCAGCTACCATGTAAATGGGGTTGAGACAGATGCTTGTGGTGGGGTCTCCACATTGGAGGTCAGTAGCCCCCGCCAGGATCCCCTCAGCATTCTCCCATTAGGGACAGTGGAGGGACTGGCCAAGAGGGCAGGTGCAGGAGAGGAAGTGCCCCGGTCCCAGTCTTGTAGACATGCAGTCATTTGCGCCCATCCCAAGCAACTGCCTGGGCCAGTGGTCCAGCGGCTGGCCAGCAGCCGAAGAGGAGGGGTCTCTGGAGGCCGGCTGCAGCCCAGAGTCCGTG